CCCCCCCCCCCCCCTCTCTTCTCCTGAGTCGACGACGTGAACGCCAACGGTCCCGGACGGGACGGCATCCTCTCCAACAGCTTCCGGCCTCTGCCGCCACCGGAAAGGCTTGGCCAGGACACGAAGCCGGACGAGGCCGTGAAGAGAGAGGTGGAGAGGCCCAAAGACTTGCCACTCTCTGCTACGGCAAAGCTGTTAGACGGTTTCGGCCGTTGCTGGGCTCGGTTCAAACACGGGTTCGGGCCGGGCTCGGCATCCTGGGCGGAGCCCCGCCCCGGGGATCGAGCCCAGCCGGGCTGTACCGGGCCGCCGGCCGCCGGGGGGCAGCCACCCAACAGGCGCGCCATACGACGCTCGGCTGAGCTCACCGGTCGGGTGGATCCGGCAACAGCGCCGCCGAGGCCGGCAGCCGCGCGGCAACGCCGCCCCGCCAGCCGGCCGGGTTCGAGCCCGAGCCATGCCCCGGGAGAGGAGCCGGGTGCGAGCCGAGCAGCCGGGGCCAGCCGGAGCCGAGCCGGGCCGGGAGGGTCGCATGGTGGGCTCTGGCGCGAAGACCACGCCGGGGCCCGGGCGCTCCACGCCTGCCGACGGAGCACTTCTCGGGCCTGAGCGCCTCGCCTGGCCGCACCGCACCTGCTGCTGCTGCTGCCGCCAACTCAATCCAGAATCCGCCACCTGTCTCAAAAAGGCCAGGTCCGCGCTGAAGTGTGCGGCCGGCGGCGGTGGGACTCGAACCCAGCGCTGGCGGGCCCCACAACACGTGGGCGGAGAGATAGCAAAGATAGAGGGCGGAGCGAAACAGCAGCGCTACCCGCGATAAGCGCGTGCGGGTTCAAATCCGTCCAGACAGCTGTGCACTTAAATACTCTGTTCATTTTTGATTTGGTTTTATAGCCAGGAACGAAACCAAAGGAGCTAGCTACTGCAATGCGCATCGAGGGGGGAGGTGGAAAAGAGGACCTACGGAGAGAGAAATCCAAACCACAGGAAAGAGGAGGGGGGGG